TGCTGACGTTTTCGTTTGGTATCCATAGCGTCAAGAATCGGTTGTCTCTTCGTTTGGTACCTTCTTCTCAACTCATCTATTTCTCTCTCCATTTCTGCATCCAAATTAGCCATTCGTTGCTGTAATTCCTCGTATGAGAGAAACTTCAGCTGCAGGATATGGTTGTTTATCTATATTCAATTTTTTTTAAAAATGCCTAAAGTGGCACTCGATTGATTTTAAATTTTAAAAAAATATTAAAAATACTAAAAAAATTTTAATTCTATCTTTTTTGAAAATTTACAAATATTTATTACTTACGAAGTCGAAATCACGTTCTGTAAAAACATTTTGGAACTTGGATATGTTATTATGAGGCTGTTCTTGTATAGGATGAGAAATCTGATTAAGCTGTAATTGTAAGTGACTTTGAAACCTCTGCGATTCCGTGGGGCTTCGTAATTCTAGTTTATTTTCATTATCTTGATTGTGTACTCCAAGTATTTGTCCATTACCCTAATATTTGAGAAACAATAATTTTATATATATATATATATTTTTCATAATATAATATATTTACATTTTTATATTTGAAATATATAATTTATAAAATACATACATGTATAAATCTTACCTTTCCTATTTCAGGTGCTTCTTTTTTATCAAAATGATCTAAAAATAATGGCCGGTATTTTTTTCCGGACTCTACTGACCCTGTATTATGCCCTGTGAATAACCGATATTTATTATTTTTATTCTTATTTTATATTTTTATATTATTATTACATTAGTGGTTTTTTCATTAAACGATTTCTTCTTACGTTTCATAGTTGCTTCGGTATCAGTGTCACTATTAATAACCATTGTTCCCAAATCTAACATTGCAGAAACAAGTGTACCCGTATCTGGAAGATCATGACTCGGTACTAAAGTTCCTGTGTCTTCTGGCAGTGGTTTCATTGTTCCACTACAATCTTCTTCATCCTTATAATAGACATTAAATATCGTTTATTAATATATGTTTTTGTAGCATTATAGCATTTATAATAAATATTAATAAAAATAAATACCGAATCTTCTGTTTGGTTTTGATTTTTGATTGCCACATTATTTATGACATGAGCACGATGTGCGCTTTGTTTTTCTCGTATTTCGTGAGCTTCTGCAATCATTTGACTAAGAATACTTGGTTGTTTGGCATTACCTGTAATAATTAAATATAAGATTTTATTATATGAATAAAAAAAAAAAAATAATTTTATTTCATTATTATAAATTTTACCTATGAATTCATGATTTAACAGCTCAGTTGCTGTAGCTCTTTCTTCTGGATTTTTAACAAGGCACCCACTGACAAAATCTATAAATTCAGGACTCCATTGATCAGGTTCTCTAAAGCTAGGTGGTGGTTTAGTTGGAATCATAAATATTGCTCTCATTGGATGTATATCACCATAAGGTGGCTTGCCTTCTGCCATTTCTAAAGCAGTTATACCAAGAGACCATATATCTGCCACACAGTCATATCCAATTTCTTGTATTACTTCTGGAGCCATCCAAAATGGAGTTCCTATAACTGTATTACGTTTTGCCATTGTATCCTAGACAAAATTTTTAAAAATTAGTTTTTAATTTTATTGATCAAAAGATTTGTTTTATATAATGATAAAAAAAATCATATAGCTTACAGTTAACTGTCCTGCTACTCCAAAATCAGCTAATTTTGCATGCCCTTCATTATTGAGTAAAATATTTCCTGCTTTAATATCTCTATGTATTTTTCTTCTCAAATGAAGATATTCCAAACCTTTTAAAGTATCACTGAGAATTGTTGCTATTTCATCTTCTTGTAAAGTTTTCTTTCTTAACCTCATAATATCACTAACAGATCCAGCTCCACAATATTCCATTACAATCTATGAAATTATATTTTGATAAATATAAGCAAAAGATAAATAAAAATATTTTATTTATTATATTATTAATATTTAAATTACCCATAAATCAGTATTTTTAAAGTAGCTTCCATAATATTTAACAACATATGGAGAATCACATTGTTGCATAATAGAAATTTCTTTTATAATTTCTTGTAAATCTGTATCAACAGGTACTTGTTTAATGGCAAGCACCTGTCCACTTTCTTTATGCAATGCTTTATAAACTGATCCATAAGATCTATATAAATAAAATATAAGATAAAATTTAAAAAATTATTAATATTTATTTCTAATAAACTGATTTTATTAAAAAATTGAATATGCTCCCATATATATTTATTTACTTACCCTTCTCCTAATTTGCATATTATATCAAATACTTCTTCAGGTTGCCTGGTTAAACTTTCTTCAGACAATTTTTTTAATTCACTGAAAAAAAATAAAATTCCTAATCACATAAATGATATTTATATTGTATGATATATAAGAATTTAGATTTACTTTTATTTTAATTTTTATATCAAGATTTATATTATACAAAATATTTGTAAAAACTGTATATATTATATACTTTTCTGTATGAGTCTACATATAGTTTTACTATTTTTATTAATATTAAAATATAAATATATTAAATATTTAATTTCTATAATAATAAAATAAATTAAGATATTCTTAAAATTAATACTTTCCCAATTTAAAATTTATTAAGAAGAATTAAAATAAATTTAAGTATAATAAATAATATTAATAAATTGATAATGTGCAGGTTAACAAAGAAACAAAGAATCAATACTGTATAATTGCTTGGTATAACAAGTGAAACGCTCAAAAGATTGAAAGACGATTCCTCTTAGCTACAAATAACTTCCACCTGCAAGTTCGTAAAGTTCTGCAAGTTTAAAAACACGAAGTAAAAACAATTAAATACCTCTTCGAAGACATTTTCGCTTTTTGTGTCAACAGGTTTTTACTTGAATAAAAACACCTTTAATATTTACATAAATAACTTAACGTGGATAAAACAGATATCATTCCGGTTGTAAAAACATAGTCAATTTAAAATAGAAGTGTTACATTTTTGTCAATAAATTAAAGTAACCATACAACCGAAATATCGAAAACCATTGACCATCTAATATTCCAGATAGCAGAGTTGATCGAAAAGTAAAATGTCTCTAAACTGGCTAGATTGATTATATACTACCATTACTTATTATTTCACTTATAATATAAGGAAATAAATAAAAATAAAAGTAAAAATAAAAATAGAATTAAATTTTCATTTTAAATCGATCAAATGTCATATTTTTAAGAGATGAGTTTATTAACATGAATTATATTTAAAAAAGATTTAAATAAATAATGACCAATCATCATGTAACTACATATGCGACACTGCAATTTTCTTCATCTCGTAAATTATACTTAAAATATGAATTGAAAATATTATTTAAAATGGTAAAAATATTGGTTTTTGAAAAATGATTTAAAATATATTATTTTTTATTTTTGCTGAAATTATTGAATGTAATAAAATTAAACTTGATGTTTAAATAAAGAAAAAAAATCAGTATTTTATAATATGAAACAGATCTGACAGAAATGACATCAAATCAAAAAATATCAATCCAATTTTTCGGAATTATATCGAATTTTCGAAATCAATAGAAATAAATTGATCAGTAGAAATGAAATTAATTAATAGGAAATTTAAAAAATATAATAAAAAATTAGTATTAATAAAAATATATTATGCATATATAATTTATTAATCTTATAATAAAATTTATAAATTTCTTAATTTTTTTATCATTGAATCTTTTAAATCGACTAATAGTAAACAATAGTAATAGTCAAATTATTATTTTAACTTAAAGATAAGATAGATAAAGTTATATTAATCGAAAATACGGTAAGAATTTTGAAAATACCGCCAGCATATATATAGTAAGAGTAACGAACAACAGAGGGAGCGGAAACCTGAGCATCGCTTGAACACACGAGAGTTTCTAGGCCCTGCACGTAATCGCGTGTCCACGCACGGTGAACGCTAGCACTCGTTTGCTAGACGGCCGGCTAGCAAAACGAGTCGATTTCTCCTGGTGCGCGATATCGCGGTAAGAGGTGGAGGATACGTTACTCGTCGAGAAATTGGAGGGTATTGTCGAAGACACCGGTTACGAGGGGACCTTGTGGTAGTTAGACAGGAAACGATAGGAACGAGATAGAATAGCCGAGAAGACGGAAAGGAGAAAAGAAGAAAAGAAGGAAAGAAAGAACGGTGGAAGAAGAGGAAGAGAGACGGAAATAAAGAAGAACGAAAGGTAGCCAGAGTGTACAGGACACACGAGGAGAGAGACGACAGGGCGAGAGAAAGACACACACGAAGCGCGTTAGAGTGCGTGATCCAAAATGGCGCTGAACCAGGACGTGGACCAGTTGTCGAAGAGTAATCTTGTGGTAAGGATCGATCAAAACTCCGAATCGGATCTACAAGCGCTATTCGACAGCGTCCTGAAGCCAGACTCGAAGCGTCCGCTGCAAGTACCATTGCGCATGCGCAATCTACCAGATTCTTTCTTTAATCCACCGTCGACGGGTAGCAAAAGTCCCTCGATCTCGCATTCCCGGGAGAATTCGGCAGATTCGGCGTTCGGCACAGCAGCCGCGGCCGCAGCGGCAGCGGTCGGCGGCGGTGGGCCAACACCCGGTGGAAACGCGACTGGTACACCGGCTACCGGAGCAGCAGGTGCGGCTACTGGTGGAAGTGGAAATAGCGCTGGTAGCGGATCAAACGCCGCAGGTGCGGCCGCGGCTGGCCTTACCGTAGCTCATCCTCGCGCCCACAGCAGCCCGGCTTCTCTTCAGCAAACCTACGCCTCGGCTCAGCAGGCGCCTCAGCACGCGCCTCAACCGCACGCGCGTCACCATCATCACCAGAAGCAACGCAGTTACGACGTCATCAGTACGGTCGACGACCTAGGTCCCCTGCCGCATGGATGGGAACAGGCGCGCACCCCCGAGGGACAAATCTACTTCCTCAAGTGAGTCTACTTTTCTTCTACCTTTTCCCTTTTTTCCTCATATTTTATTTTTTTCTAATTTTTTGTCTATCTGTCTGTTTCTCCCTCTCTCCCTCCCTTTCTCTCTCTCTCTCTTCCTTCCTTCCCCCCTCTCCTATACTATCCTGTTTTTACGTTCCCGCTCATTTCATTCGTTTTTTTTATATCGATACGTATATATATTTTCATCGATTTCTGGAAATTTTTCGAAGATGTCTATGAAATCTGATTGGTTAAGATCAACGGAATCCTCGTTAACGCTCTTAAGGTTTCCTCTATAAACGTAAGTTTCATGTTGCTCGATCCTCTTAGGGCATTACACGAGAACGAGAAAATACGAAGGGAATACCGGCATCGATTTGACATTTTCTTGTGATTTCTAGTGATTTCACAATGTAATTGACTCATTTCCAAGTGGTTCCTATCCTAGAACTATTGAATAAACGTTCCTACTTCGGATCGAAGCAATTCACCGCTGTATATGCGACTGCTGCTTCGTATTTTCGCCGTGTTGGGGTCCCCACATACCTCAAGGCCGTTACTGTCTTTATCACCACCTCGTCTTACTCATCGTTGTTTCTTCGTTCCTCCATTTCTCAGCCGTCTCTCCCCACCGCGAGCGGTTCGTCATGTATCCTCGTTGTCCCCGCCATCCCGTTTTCTCATCTTTCTCTTTGCTCGGGTCTCCTTGTCAATCTCGTGCCGCCTACTCGATACCTCCAGTCCCTTCCCCAAGTTTCTCCTCCATCTCGCTCGTTTAACCTGATCCACCTGCACCGTCACTAGGATTCCCACGTGTCACCTGTCGTGGGAAACGCTCCTCGTATGCTTTGTCGCCTCGTTCGTCTCCTTCCACCCATCTGTCTTTCACCGACTCGGACGTTTCTCCGTTAAGCGTCTCTCTCTTTTCAAATCGACGCGTCTAATTTCCAATCTTTCACGAATTTTTTGACGGGGAAGCTGTTCGAAACAGACAGAAGAGGAGAAGTTTTAAATAAATCGTCAAAATCGTTCGTCCCATTTTAAAACATATTTCGTTTCGTATTATGTATTCGTTTATCGATCGTTTATCGAAGGTATATATAAGAATTGGAAAGATTAAACAATCGTCGTGTATCACCTCCTTCGATTTCTTCGAGTTCACGTGTTTTCCTTCGAGTGTCGATCGATCGACCGCGTTACACTTTCCTCCTTGTTTGCTTTGATGTCCGATTACGATTTCGTTGATCGAGTAGTTGATGTCACGTCGAGATATCCCCGGGTTGATAATCGATATGTTTCACCGTCGATAACGAGTATACGTACCTGCAGACGAAGGGATTCTCGTTTATATATATATATCTGTACTTTTATAAATATTCATCGTGTCTCCTCTTGAATGTTCGCCTTTCTGAAAGCCGATTGAAAAGGGCTTTCATTCGCATTCTCTGGTATTGTTCTTCGCCTCATTTCCAAGTATTTTCTTTTTTCTTTTTTCTTTTTTTCTTTTTTTTTTTTTTTNATTTATTTGCTAACGCAGAAAGGATTCACAGGGAAGATGGAAAAAACT